TCTGAATAGTGTCCTTCCATCTATGCCTGGTTCTCCTAGGTCTTGTGTTTCCTTCAGATCTGCCATTAGGATTTGAGGTTCTCACAGCAGTGGTTGTGAAGCCGTGAAGTCGGGTAAATTTCAACGGTCTGCACCACATTATATCCCGGAAGACAGAACTCTTCGCTTTTCTTCTATACGTGCTATGTGCCCCGCCCATCTGATCCTTCTTTTACTTTATCCATCTGATAATACTTGACGAGATGTACAAGTTATGAAGTTTCTCAGTGTGCAGTTTGCTCCATACTCCTCTTACTCCGTCCCTCCAAGCACCCTGTGCTCACGAAGATTTACAGATATGTTTGAATCATGATTTTATTGCCGTAGATAGGCTCAACGATGCATAAAGTATATATCTCTCTGCAGTGGAATATGTGTAATGTTTATTAGTTTGAAGATACTAGATTCAGCTGCAGTACACATGAGCATTAATGAGGTGTCTCCCTGTTTCCTTACGTTCCCTCTGGCGGTTGCTAAGACACCACACGCAGTATAATGTGCAAAGCGATCATTATTCACCGCTGTTCGTCTCTCGGCAACCATATACAGTTTAATGCATAAAGCGATATGTTTGTTAATTGCAAGTCTTATTATCATGGCAGTACATAACAGAACGTACACGTGATTTGAACCATTCATTTTCGAAGCCTCAGAATAACACTGTGTGAGAATAAATCAGTGTTTCTTGTAATGCTTTAACTATCAGGTTGCGTTTAATGAAGAAAGTTTCCCTCTTTTTCCCCGTATTAGTTATTAAGCTTTTTAATGATGCATGTAGAAAATTATTCTAATACATAATTTCAAGCATTAATTGAGAGACAATTAAACACCAATAACGTAAGGAAAATACAAGATGTAAATTGCCATCTAAGTACATCTAGTTTAGTTCCTTTAATTAGTTATATATTGTTAAAACGCTAACATATTTCGGTCTCATAAGACCCATCTTCAGGAGGTGTAACGTAGTTACAGGAAACATTGCAATTCAAGACTTCCCCTACAAAGCACATCGAAACAGCAGAACTCCTCTTCTTCCGACACCTAAAAACTAGTACGAAACAACAATGTACACGCCGTACTAAACTGAAAGTGCAATAATTACGACATATATATATATATTTACATAATATTAGTTTAATATCTTATAAGAAATTTAAGACGCAGATATTTTTAATCCTTTATTTTATACATACATGAATTGTAATATTGTACGCTCCCTGAAACTGGTCTTGTCTAACAGAAACAAGTTGAGGGTTTAAAAACTAGTAATAAACGCCAGGAATAAACTAGATATACTTAGATGATAGTTTACATCGTGTTCCAAAATGGACAGTATATCGTGAAAATTAACTCTATCAGTAGGTGACACAGTATCACTGTTTCGGTACAGTTTAACGTAAGAAAGACTGAGGAAAGCAGATACGGTAGCTAGTTCCATGTATCGGTATGGTTGCTGCGGTTGCTACACTCCAGTCACAGACAGTTCTGCACTACTTCATTAATAACAGTTCTTCCTTCTGTCGATTCATTCCGCATTCACACTCAACCTACTGCACGCCCCCAGTCGCGGACGGTGGAGTCTTCTGAGATACTCTGCAATCAGAGATCACTTTTTTTCCTGTGGCGCTACAGCCCCAATTTGGGCCTAGGCCTACCTCCATGAAACTCTCCGTTTCACTTCGGTATACTAGATCTTACGCACTCGGTAGGACTCCTTCGGCGAGTGATCAGCTCGTCGCAAGGCCTCTACCTGTAGACAAACACAGAAAAACGCACACAAACATCTATGCCCTGAGTGGGATTCGAACCCACGATCCCGGCTTCCGAGCGAGCGAAAACAGTGCAAGAGATCACTTTAGCAAGTCAAAGTACAAAGTTACCAAAGTGGACACCACATCTCAGCTCTGATACGTACAGTTGCTTCTTGTATGCTGCAAATTAGTCCTCTGTACTTGATAAGGTATGTACTCTCTGATGACTTCAAAACTCGTCTTCAGATTCTCGAAACTTTTTTTCTCTCTCCTCTAGCCTAGCTTTCAACGAAATTTGTGTCTTGTATAAATGGGTAAGTTCCCTTGGTTTGTATATGCTGTCGAGTTAGTGAAGAGCAGGCAGGTCAAACATTCCCCATTAAGTTTCTAAGAGGGGGAATAACATGAACAGTTCAGCCAATAACCCTCCCCTTACAAGCTTTATAGCTTTACACCAGGTTCTGTGGTGTCATGCGTACACCAATATAAACTAAGTTTACACTCGACACAACCGCACGTGTACATATCAACACATTTTAAACCGAAGAGGTTGGTTCTGACGGCAACGCTTCTGATTTATATGAAATTCCCAGTTCGAAACTAGGTCGAGGCACCGACTACACAATATGCAGATCTCGTGGTTTTCCTCTGTTCCTCAAACAAATGCCAGGGTAATATCTCAACACATCCTTTCCAATTAATGTCACTATCCTAACATTCGACCCTGCATAGTCTGATCTACTGATAGCCTAGTTAAATAAAATGGTAAGCGGCCTCCGTAGTCTGGGGGTAACGTTCCCAGCTCATGACTCAAGGTACGCGGGTTCAAATCCGGCGGAGGTCGTGGAATTTTTAAGGGCGGAAAAATTCAGGGAGGGACTTTAAGCCGTGGGTCCCGTGTCATAGATTTACGGCACGTAAAAAGTGTCCCGCCCGTGTAGTTGCCAATGCCTCCGGTAGATGGGTAAGCATCGGGTACCGCAGCCATCCTCGCTGGCTGAACGGGGCTGATAGCGAGCACCAGTACCGGCAGGGTATGGAGACTAGTAGAATATTAAAAGGGGTACACTATTAGTCGCGGTGCATGGGGAAACCCACCCCCTCCAATAATAATAATAAGAATAACTAAAGTGGTATAATAATAAAAATAAAAATATTTAGTACTACTAATGACTTTCTTAACGTTAACGGCCGAGTCAGAGTTCTACCATACACGGAATAAAAACGGCAGCATGGAACAGAAGTGGTCGCACTGCAGCCATATTGCTCCGCCGCACACGAAAGGGAACTGAGAAAATCAGATTATTTTGCTTTCATCTGAGGAATCCGGCAGCGGCAGTACCGGTGTCCTGCTTATTGCGTTAATTCTAAATTACATTTTAACTTACTGTTGTGCTTGCCTTTAATTGCGGGACGTTATAACCAGAGCTAGGACGGCTGACAGCGAAAACTTCTCAATTCAATTTGTGAAAGACTCGCATTATGGGACGTCCTCCTTTATTCAGGAAGCTTAATACAGTTCCCCCCCCCGCAAGGGTATGACAGTCACCGTACTTTTCCCTCCCACAACGAAATTAATTTCAGTATTGTTATAATTTAGTTGACCATAGTAGCCGCGCGGACAGAAGCATGAATTCTTTTTGCCTGCTGAAACAATGGGGTTGCGAGTTCGAATCCCACTCGATGCATGGGTATCTGTCTGTGTTTATTCTATGTATGTAGCGGCCTTCGTCGGGCTGATACCCCGTCCAAGGAGCTCTACCGACTGTCTATATTATTAAGAAAATGTAAAACAGAGGCCAAGGGTCATCATGGACTGTAGCATCCAAAGATTATTATTATTATTATTATTATTATTGTTATTATTGTGCTTCGTTAATTAAGGTAGTTTTGAAACGAACATTTGTATCTAACAAAGACGTTTAGTGAGCGACGTGTATTTTACCTGCAGTCTGGGCATATAAGGATACCACTCAACTGAAAGTTGAAACTGACGTACACATTTGGGCCGTAGCGACTTCCAGCTAGTCCAACTGTATCCATACGCCTGGGTTTTATTACGCGCACATTAAGGTGATTATAGAGCATATTTCACGATATGTTCTTGATTCAAGGACCGCCTTTGTGCTCTAGTGGTCAGAGTTCCTGGCTACAGATCCAGATGTTCGGGTTCAATTCCCGGCACTACCAGATTTGCTAAGAAGTAGTGGGTCTGGAACGTGGTCCACTCAGCCTCATGAGGATAATTGAGGAGTTATTTAAGGGAAATAGCGGCTTCGGTATAGGAAGCCTTGGGGATCCGTTGCGCTGACCACGTGACACCATCTATCCGCAAAAGTTGGCACTAACTTCGCCGACAATCGGCGTTCGCTCGGTCGGTATAGTTCGCTTACGGTCTAAAACCACGGAGTTTGTTTTTTCTTGATTCAAGAGGTTATAATATCGTCGAACGATGTTAGAATGAACGCGTATTACTTGTTAGTGCAAATTTCAAATGAAGGGTGTTTTGTAATGATAGAGGTTGCAATACTGTTGCAATACCTGAGACAAACGGAAATCATGGAAAATATAAAGAACTTATTAGGTTTAAGATACAGAGAAAACCCCAAAATGTCTGAACCAGTAAATTATAGTCAGTCATGCCAGTAATGGAACAGACCACATACAGAGCACTGCACAAGAAGCAACGTATCCTACATTTACACGGTGTTCAGAACACTGTGTCTATTCCAGCTCTCACAATTTGACATATACACTCACACGCGAATAAATGACGAACGATTAAGCACTACCTTGGGCCGTAGACACTATCTAGCCATTTTGATTTTAGTTTAGTTAAATTTTATTTATGGACCTAAATGGTTCTCTTCTCTATATTTTTGCTTCTTTGACGGATTTATCGCTTATCTTTAATAAACTCCTATTTAATGTTTGTAAATAGATGTGGTGCTTGTCAGATGTATGTTCAGTTAATCTCACAAAAAATATAAGCGATGGCAGGCTAGGTTAACCTGTCCACCGACACTGAAAACAACAAACAGTTATTTTTATCTCTCATTAAATTCAGCTTATAGAGATGAAAGACCATACATCACGTGACTTTTATATTATATACTATCCATGGCCCGTATGATAGCGATAGAAATGTTAAAGACAGTTATAGCATAAAGTACGAGGTAATAATTGTTCTCGAACTGTTTTATTTTTCAGAACAAGGGTCCCTGACCATCGTGCGTCGGAGTAGCACCAAGAAGAACCAGAACCACAGTGGCACAGTGGCTGGCTGTCCATCCTCTTCCTCTTTTGCTGATGATGAAGTGCTAGACGCGGTGGATCTAGACACTGACAACCTACCTGCCGTAGACACGCCCGACGCCTGTGACAAAGCAGCAATCAGGTCTGTGTACAAGCACTTAATATACTCGTAACGATTGTTACCAGTCCGGGAGTTTCTTCCTCCTCCTCCTTCTTCTTCTTCTTCTTCTTCTTCTTCTATGGCGCAACAGCCCGATGTCGGGCCTTGGCCTCCCTTATCAAGCCCCTCCATTCCTCTCTATCCTGCGCTGCTCTCTTCCAGCTCCTTACGCCCATTAACTTCTTTGCATCTTCTTCCACCGCATAAATCCATCTAGTTCTTGGTTTCCCAGCGCGTCTCCTACCACCTATTGTACTGTATAATATTTTATTTGGGATACGCTCCTTATCCATTCTCTCTACATGCCCAGCCCATTGCAGTCTTTTAAGCTTTATCGTCACTGAGATCTCTGGCTCCTTATATATAAGGAGTTTCTTCCTTAGTCAGTGCATATAAGGGCCCCTTCCATCGATTCCGTTATGAAACACTAACATAACTACAGGTTTAATCTAAATTACTGACTTTTCCACTGTACAGCGATATTCGTGTGCAATTGGTAATATTCAACAGATCGAGAAATTTTACCTTGATAACAAAAACCCAAAACACGGCGCCACATCCCAAAAAACGGCTTTCTTCATAGTCATCGCCGTGAAAACCTCAAATATTACACAGCTAATTCCAGTTTACACTTTGAAAACGTGTTTATTTTAAGATCTGTTTTATTGTATTGTCGCATGTTTGCTAGGCAACGCGACAAGAAATTTTGTGGATTTCGGATTTGAACGAATGTTTATTGGACAGTCGCTTTTTCACTCACAGTTATTCACAACTTATAACGTCGTCGGACGTTTCTTCTTTACTATTACAACTTCTTGCACCGCTAATCTCCATAAAGTATCTTGATCTCTTTGTCGGACGCGAGCTTGCTTATGCTGTAGTGGGAGCTACACTAAGAACTGACTGGTCTCGTCGAAGCTGGACTTTTATAATATGCACTTGGACCCAATAGGGAATGCCATGTCAAAGGGTTAACCTTGTCCGCTACTATCGAAACGCTACTTCCAACAGTTCGTATGTAACGCTGGAAATTCCACTGTTAGATTGCTGGCCGCTGTATAGCAATGGATGTGTTCCGATTATTATGCGTTGCAGCGGGAACGCTGGTCGTTGCCTAGGAAATCAACTCTGATCTCCTAATCAATTCCGGATTCCTGGCGGCACGCCACAATATTTTCACACAATTTTAAGTGTCCCAAGTGATCTCTCCTTTGTTCTCTTAAGAAATGAATGCATATATTATTTCTCCACCTCTTCACATGCCGTGTCGATTTCGTTTCTAGTGATTGTTTACCTTGTTGATACTGAATGAAGAGTGCGAACTGCTGAGGCATTGAAGGGCGCAGTTTTTAAATTCTCATGTTACTCCATGTCTTCCGAATCTGGGTATTTTCCTCCTCAGCCCCTTGTTCTCAGACACCACGAACTGTTGTTCCTTCCATTTTTGATAGACCAGTTCTCATCCTTTTATGAACTAGATTGTTATTCTAGCTCATAATTCATATATACAAAGATATAAATACTCACATACTCGTACATACATACATGCACATACATGTACAGAACGAGGCTGATAGCGAGCACCAGTACTGGAAGGGCATGGCGACGGTAGAAATTAAAGGGGGACGCACAATAGATCAACAACTGGTCGCAGTGCATAGGGAAACCCACCCCTTCCAAAAATAATAATAATACATACATACACACATACAGGTTGGGCCAGAAGTCAGTTAACTGAGTAGTAAAATGCGCACTAAGATACGTTACAAATTTATTGATTACTTACTGGATTTACAAGAATTGTTCGAAATGAGATCCTCTCTGGCCAGTGCGCATGTCACAAAGTTGTGATACCGTTCTACAAACTGACGAACAGTTTTAAATCTGAACATTACCGTTAATGCGACAGAGTATTTTAGGTTAACCGACTGCTGGGTCACGCTGTATATACATACATACAAACAAACAAAATGATATATAATTTATTTTGCTATTCATGTAGAAGACCGAAGATATTCACACGGCTCACTACTAATGTCGACTGTGCTTTCTCTTTGTGGAAAACATTTTAATAAGTAGATGTAAATTGTGCGTCATTGCATGTTGTAATTATGAAACATGTTTAAATTCTTATGAACCTGACCTGCCGATGTCATGAAAATGTGGTGCTATACATCCACTCCCCAATACGCTTTCATGGTGTAGTGCTTAATTAGTTAAGGACAGGGACAACTTTACCTTCACCAACTGAGTTCTGTTATCCGTTACTGTAGATATCATTTTCACTTGTTTCGTGGTGTCTGAAACCGTTCCAAGTAGAAACAAAGTAGTTCCATCCTGTGGTTTCGCTTGTGTTGCAGTTATATCCGTCGTAAAGTGTACAAACAGGCGTTTTATGCGGTTAGGCATGCCAGATGCTTTTTAGGAGCAAAAGTACTTCTGAATCTGCGTGTTCAGTAAGGCTGGGTGGGCAATATGGAATATTATATTGGTTTATTCTTAAAATACCAGATTACAGCATATCATTTGAAAGTACAGCAGAGATACCATTCTATCAAGGATGTAAATTGTTTTGAGCTCATTTATGTTACAGCGTTTATAATTTGATGTAATTGCATATTATCTTTTATATTCCATATTACTTTCAACACACATTTCTCGCAAAAATATGAAGAGTTCGTATGATTTTGTAAATAATATTTGCAATAACGCTCACGATTTGCTAAGTAAATACCAATAATTTCTTTCGTTCTAATGTTCATGTATGAAAATATTTTTTCTTTTTTCCTTGGCACTACAGCCCCAGTGGGCCTAGGCCTACCTCCATGAACTTCTCCGTTCACTTCGGTTTTTCTAGATCTTACACATTCGGTAGGACTCCTTGGGCGGGTGATCAGCTCGTCGCGAAGCCTCTACCTGTACACAAACACAGAAAAACGCACACACACAAACTAAACATCTCCGAATCCTACGTACATAATTTAATGGCAAAACCTGCAGGAACTGTATCACTTAGAAGATTTAGGCGTAGGTTCGAGGATAATTCTAACAGGAATCCTAGAGGCACAGAATGTTAGGAATTGGACTCGGTAACGTTCAATTCAGGACAGTGCAGTGGCAAGCTCAGAGGAACACAGGAATTAACTGTTCGGTTCCACAAATTGTATGGGATACCTTGTCTAGCCGATCGAAAGTTAACTTCTCAAGAAAGTCTCTGTTCCATGCAGATGCAAATGTATGTTTAGTTTCTGTTTCTGTGGGCAGTAAAGTCGTGATGGTCCTGAGTGCACCGACAGATCCAGCAGGCCGTGGCTGCAGATTGTACAGCTTCTGTCGGCAGATGGATCTGCTATCGGTATCTGTCGTCATTTTAATGAAAGAATGTTTATAGCTTCTTTATTAACCGTCATAACACAACAGATATCAAGATCAGTGCCTGGTTTCTGCTCTGCTACATGTTTCGGCTATCAGTAGCCATCATCAGGCAAATAGACGGTTAACATATATACACCACTGAACTGCAGTACTAGTAAAATTGGATTACTGTTAGTTATATGAAACACTTGACGTAAAAAATACAATAAATCATATTATATAAAACAGAAGTTATAGTATAAAACAAGAATAAAATTTTAGATTAATGTTTTATATCATCGAATCAGTCGTTGGTTTTGTAATTTCCTTGCGTTCCCACGGACAAATTGAAATATTCTGTTGTTTTTTTCTTTTTGTATATAAGATTGTTTAGGAGGCTCGTGATGTAGATGTAGTAAATTAATATTAATTGTTTAGTCGGTATCTCATCTTACAGAGTATTATTCATACTGCAGGGAATGTAAACAACCTATTGTACCAGCCCCAGATGATAGGTGAGGGTGATTGTGGAGCAATTGGTGGAATGAAGATTGGCAGGGGAAACCGAAGTACTCTGAGAAAACCTGCCCTAGCGCCACTTTGTCCACCACAAATCCCACTTGACCAGACCCGGGATCGAAACCGGGTCGCCACGGTGGGAAGTCAGCTACTAACCGCTTGTTCTATGGCGCGGTCAGACCGTAACACTTAGTCAGGTAGTGAACTGCACTCTGTCCTTATCACCGAGTTTTCCGTTTGCTTGTCTGATGAAAATCAACACATCAGAACGACACAAACTCGCAGCTGAAATGTTAATGTAGGGAGCATAACTGCTACACCGATCATTACTTCAGATGGCTCTATGAATATCGGACATTACTGTTACAGCTATGACAGGCAACCAACTAATATGCATCATAAACTGAATTTGCTCCATTGCCTCTAAGTACGAATTTTAAAATTTAATTTATTTTAGATGTGAAATCGAAAGTGAATATTTTGTTTTCATTTTCAGATTGCGATGCCTGCTAAGACAATTACAAAGAGGGGAGATATCAGCAGAATTACTACAGAAGAATCTTCATTATGCTGCCAGAGTTCTGGAAGCCGTCTTTATCGACGAGACGAAGTAAGTGTATTGGCATTCGGGACGAGAATTTGTTTAGAATAGAAAACACTGGTGTACAATGTCTGTGTACCAGAAAGTTATAATTTAAGCTTCTTGCAGAAAAAATATTTACCTCAGTGGATGTGAGTCTAACCTGCAGGGCTTCTTGATTTGCAGTGTTAATAGCTTATTAATGAAACATAAATAATGCAGTAATTTGTCAACTGATGATTTGAACCGAATTCTTGCACGTGTACACGTCTATATTCAGGCACCGGTCAGACTTTCAACATTTATTTCTCGTCGGACCCTAGTTCTTACGTGTAAGTATAACGATCTACAGTGCCATGTCGAATGTGAATTCTGCACTTATATTCTGTACTCGTTAATGTCTGAATTTGTCCGAAAATAATAATAAAATGCGTAAGATTACTTTTCGGAACAGATACACTCGTATTAATGAGAACTTAAATTATTCTTTACTTTTTATCGGCCTTTCCTATTGTAATTTTTCAGAATAATATTCTTAATCCAGCGATGAAGCACTGTAAATAAACAATATTTTCACGTGTTAATAAATATGGAAATTATTTATATTTCAATCTTTGATGTTCGCAAACTCAATCATAAAAAATAGAACTTTCGTAGTTTTTTAAAGTTCTCGGCTTCTGAAAAGCAACGAGCATCGAAATTAATTCCACTGAATTTTACGTTATGGTAATTTGCTAGATAATGACTGTCCCCTGTTATTTATAAGATATTCTGATCGCATTTAACTAAAGTTATGATAAACTATATAATTTTTTGTGTCGGGGGGTAAATGAATAACCAACCAACCACGAAAGAACTTCTGCTGTTTGATGAACTATACATAAGAGTTTGTACAGTTTCAAGGCAAGGACTGTGGAAATACTCGTTCCCGAAACTACAAATCCGTAGTCCACATATGGATGGAAGAATTTTAATTACACCAAAAATAACTTCTATTTATTTATTTGTGGCTTATTTGACGAAGGTATCAGAGTTTCAGACTACATAATATTAATAATATTAATTAATAAATATTGAATTGGATACGATATATAAGAAGAGGGACTTGGCCTGATTTTTAATATTATCCCAGCATTTGGGTCAGGGGATTGAGGAAACAACGCTCTGTGAATCTAGATCTGCTCGCGGCCTAGGAGTGCTACTCATTGGGTCTTTCTGTCAAAAAAACTTGTTTTTTCAGAAATGTCAGTATTAGCTAAATCACTTCTTCATAGAACTAATATTTTAATTCTTATAAAATACGAGGTTATTTTCAGAAAATTTATTTCCACCCAAAATTTAGAAAAATTGTCTCTGGAATATAATTTTATATGATTCTGATATCTTATGTCAGTGGTTCTCAATCTTTTTAGCTGAAAGCATTCTGTAGTTATGCGTTACAATTCCGAACACACCATCTGGGATAATGATATACAGCTCTTCAGTGACTTTTGTATAAAGGTTCTGATAACAAAAGCATATNTCCTAAATATCTTCAACTTTCTAGACTGTGATCTCGACCTCCAGGCGCTGGTATGGAGAACTCTGATTCAGTTGTGTAGTTTAAATACATCTACACGAAGATACAAAGTTTTGTGCTTTGGTTGACAGTTGCTGGTGTTTCTAAAGATTTTATTTTAATTGTATTTCTCTCACAAGAGATTTGGCATTGTTCCTGAACTGTTATACCCAGCGCAGACGTGAGATTTGATACAAAGCTGTTCCATGCCTACTGTTATATTTCAACTTGTAGTTTACTGTTACATTTATAGAGGGGAAACTTCTAACAGATCTAAAATAATACATACTTTAAATAAATTTCGTTAACATATCATTCTCTGCAGACTTATGGACGCATTTTGTGGCATGTTCGTTATAGCTTTACACTCAAGAACGCAATACGACTTAAATCATTTTTCTGGCCCTATTATATGGCGAGATATAGGAAGTTACATATTATTATATGCCACATGCAGTCACGCCCTTTGAGCATATAACATATGAAACTGAAGGTGAGAAAGAACATAACAGATTAAGGAATACAAAGCCCGTTGTAGGAACAACGGGTATTTTAACTTAATTACCTAAATTGTACTGCAGGCTATTGAGTCTGAATATAGGCGTGTACACATGTTTCTTGTTGTTCCATGTCACATGATGCTAAACCCGTTTTGTCACTGCCAGCACAAGGGTCGCAGAGGACGCCATGCAGAAGCATTGCTTGCCTTACACTTTCATGTTTCCCAGAGCCTGATATGCAAGAAGTGTTACTCTGCTAGTGCGATTGCATTTCTCTTATAGAAGCTACTTTGGTGATTGGAAATGACCCTCGAACATTCTAATTTTCAGCATGGATATCACTTGTTTGTTGCACCAGAGAGAGTGTGGCTGCATTTGTCTTTATAGCAATGTAATATCATATTTTATGTGTTGGAATATGTCTGATTTCAGCCAGAGTGGCGATTTATGTTGGCTCTACACAAGTAATGGTATTAATAATCTCTTAAATATGCATTTTATTTACGAAAATTCTTACAGCATTTCTGAGGTAAAACATTTTTATTCTTTTGTTGAAAAATATCATTGTTATTGCTGAAGTGTATTTATGGAATTTACGCGCTTTTTGATGTGTGGAGATTTGTCTGGTGAGTAAATTAGTCTCTTAAAGGACACAATGTAGAAGGCTGCGTTGAATATTTGCATTAGAATGTATTACGGAATTTGTAAGGGATTCACTTTGTGTGAGAAACTTGGGCCCTCATCTTAGGGGAAGAATACAGATTGATGACTAGATCTGAGGTCCTCGGGGTGTTGCGAAGATTACGGTATTCTGCGATGTGAAGCCGTGGAGTTTGGTGAATTGGAACAAAGTCATAGAGGAACCTGATGCCTATATCTTTAGGATGGTAGAATGAATCTCTTCTACCCTGAAGGCTGAGACAGTAGGTTTCTCCGAAACGTTTTACACAGAAGACCGTAGCGTTGATAGACTGAGGATGTTTGAGTACAGGTGAACCAAAGAGAGAGGCAACAACATGACGGTGTCTGATATCGCATAACAGTTTATTTGTCACCAGATATTGTTAGGACGATTAAATCAAGGAAGAGGAAGTGGGTGAGATATGTAGCACGCATGGAAGCTGAGTAATGCGTACACGGGGTGTCTGATATCCTTAAAGAAAGAGACTAAGTGGGAGAACCGACCGTAAATTGGAGTATAATGTTAAACTCAGTCTTATGGAATAATATCTACTGAATTAAACTGGCTCTGGATAGGCTTCCCGGTGTCGCATTCTTGTGAGTACGACATTGAGGCTTCGGGTTCCATAAAACGTGGGAAATTGCTTACATCAGGTTCTGAAGAAGAACTCGGTTTTATGGGAGTTAGCTAGTCGGTTAGTTAAATGGTTTACCTGGATTTTCAGCTTTACAGTGAAAGACGTACTCAAATATTCCGTGGTCCTGTTGCATGTTGGTGTTATCCTGTTACGCTGCCGAACAGACCTGTTGTACTGCGTCATCGCTCTGTGTATGGAATTCTGCATTTTATACTGCAAATTCTAATTTTTTACTTTTCAAATATTCTGTACAACCTGCAAGCATTTGGAGCATTCAAAACATATGTAGGAATCAGCCAGCATGTAACATGTGGCGTACTTGTGAACAACTGGGATAAACTCCATTCGTTTGTAAAAGTAACATGAATATATTACTGACAGTTGCGAATTTTGTAACTAGTTCAGAATTTGCATTATGATCTATGCATATTTATATCTACATAAAAAATTAAAAAACTAAAGAAATAATTAATTGTGAATTATGAGAAAGGTAATAGCTTTAATTCATAGAAATTACATATTTCAGAATATCACGCCAAAGATGAGAGACCGGACACGGTGTTACAAGCTTGCTTATCTTGAAGTCGATGATTTAAGTTTTATATTAGCAAATGAATATTCTAAACAGATCGACATCTGCTCTCAAGTGTGGCCATAAGCCGTTTTCGTAAGAATGAGTAATTTGAGTAGGTGTGTCATAATCTTTGTATTTATTTTCATCTGCGTGCAAGGAATAAAAGTCAGTGCCTAAATGCTTCATCCTCTCATTAACTCACCTTCTATTCGTAACTTATACATTAAAATGTTACTTAAAGCCGAAAGTGACTACCGTTGCTTATTTTTTCATAACAGCTGCAGTAGAAATTGTTCGATGAGTTCTAAACCTAATCCGCATGGTTGAGAGAAACAAATGGCCTTCCGACAGATATCTTCCGAAAGCAGTACCTGTTTTCAAACATAAAAATGCTTACGGTAATTCTGAATATAAGATAAATATTTCAGTTGCAAGAATATGGATTTACTATAACTTGTCAAATTTGACCTGCATGGACTTCATCCATGCAAGTCTTGTCTAAAGACGACAACTTTCTTGAGTAGCTGTGAGATTGTTATCTACTGCAGAAGGACTTTTTCTTTGATTTGAAGTGGTTCCTTATCGATTCAAGTACAGTTCTTACAAAATATTGCGCTTGATATTTAAGACGTTAATAATTATTAATCTCTCCGCGACACGGCGTTTAATCTGTAGCTTGCTTTTGATCTAACAGTTAGAATAAAGATGATGTGGAAATCACTGTGACTAAATATATTTATTTGTTCTTCATTTGGATATTTTAATACTGTTCTGTCTCCCATTTGGAAGGGAACCAATTCGCTCTACCTGCTTAGCGGCCACAGCATCAGAATGCTTAAATGTATTGCATGCTGTATATAAGATTTGAGGTTTTCACGGCGGTGACTATGAAGAAAGCCGTCTTCTGGAATGTGACGCCGTGTAGAAATTGTGTTAACTGACGTTTCGAAGGAACGTACCGCCTCCATATTCAGGGTAGAAGACAAGAAGAAATCCTCGAGCGAACCAGCAGAGCAGATGCAACAGATTGTCTGTTACTCGAGTTACCTTTCATAGAAAGGCACAGAAATTTTGCTTTA